GGTGGGGGGGGGGGGGGGGGGGGGGGGGGGGGCACTTGCTTACACTGGCCTCAAAATATTTTTATAGGTGTAAAATGAAAAAAAAAAGTATTTTTTTTAAATTAAGGACTATACATTCTTGAGTTTTCATATGCGGTCGTATATTGTTTTATTGTTTTACACTGGCCTCAAAACATGTTTTCAATCTGGAATGATTGCCTCGAATATGAATTTGTTATTAAATAATATGAATAGAATTATGGAAATAAATGATGATTAAGTAGATGTTTTAATAGATAGAGCTAGTAGCATTCTTGTTCAAATGCCAACATAAAATATATGTTCTCTTTTGTTTCTGTCCATATGTGTTCATCTATATATAGACTTTGCTCCCACTGACAAAAGTTTTTTACTTTGCCACTGATTGTCCTGTGCAAGGATGACACACAAATCATACATATGACATGTTATCTCATCATATATAACCTCTGATGCTTTGGCCTAATGAGCAGATGTAGGGGAAATCCAGTTCCATTCTGCATTATCAAGTGGTGTTTCTACAATAGGTCCAAGGTACAAGGTAGTTTCTGTCAAAGAGATTCAACCTGAGACAGATCTTACTACATGCCTTAAAGCTAGAAGAGAAGGAGAGCAAGAGATTCTTGGAGGTCAAAGGATTATAGATGACATCAACAATGAGGTATTTGCCTTACGATGATTTAGCTAGTTGTTTGTACCGTTTGCTTCTGCTTTGACGTTACTGGAAAATCCCTGAGACCGTTTGCATAGTTGTGTCCGCAAGATCTTGTTTAGTGACATTATTGAGTTATATTTCTTAAATTATATGGTTGAAAATGTGATTACTTTCTCATTTATGATGCTTAAACCTTATAAAAAAGGGTCCATGTACGTATTCGTACTTCGATAGAGTGATTTTATGTAAGTGAAGAAGAAATACACCAGGCGACCTATATCATCTCTTCTAAGATCCAAATACTCCTATCCCTTTTAAGTTCAAGCAATTTCTACCAAAATATTTGAAATCGATACGAGATACTTTTGCCATCGATCCCTAGAGTAAGCCATAGAAGAATTCCTTGATAACTACAAACCTATAATCTGAAATCTTACATCAGAGCTCTTAAGCTTACATTTAAGAGATAGAATACGTGTATGAGTTAAATTTTCAGCTATTAGTTATAATTTGCCTCTAGGCTTTAAAGTTCCATGAATGAAGTTTTCTGCTATTAATTTTTTTCAATATATGACAGTTGGTGAACAAAACTGAACTGTTCATTGGGGTTTCAAAACAAAGACAATGCGTTATTGGGTCAGAGAATCCAAAACTGTCGAGATCCCTGGCTTTTCATGAAGTTAAGAGGTGAGATGCTGAACTTTCACCAGTATTTTTATATGTTGGCATTGTATTTTTCACAGAAAGTTTGCCAGGCACTTGAGACTTTTTTTTCTTAGCTTGGTTTTAAGTATATTCTCAAAGATTCTTCTTATTGAGACATGGATTGCTTGTCAACAGAGGAGATGGAGAACACCTTTTTATTAGTGGAGATGGCATCGGTTCTGGAGACTATTTTCATTTCTACCATTCAGATCCAAAGGCCGCATTATCTTCATGTAGTAATGTCTCCAAGAATTTCAGAAACTTGAAACTGGATTGGAGAAGCTGCCAGCTTCACGCAGGTGGTGTTGGTAGTAAGGAAGTTGTTGGAGGTTTGGTTTTCTCTTGTTGGGGCCGTGGTGAATCATTCTTTGGACACAGCAACGTGGATAGCTCACCATTCTTGGATAACTTTCCAGGAATCCCAATGGCAGGAATATTTTGCTATGGCGAAGTCGGACGTGGCTTTACAATGTTGAACGCAGATGACCATGAAGACCAAGAAGAACAGACTTCGTGTTGCTGTCTACATGTATATAGCACTATATATGTGTTGGTGTCTTATACTCCAGCACCTCTAAAGCATTAGAGTTTGTCCATCTTCTTCGTGATGGATTACCAGAAGTACTGTTGACTCTCTCTACTATTGGTAGGACTCGTTTTTTATTTTGTTGGGGTGAAATCCTGTAGTTTGTGGGAGAAATATATCACTTTAGAACTGCAGTTCTCAGATTTCTTATCACATTTTCTGCTCATAACATAGTACTATTTATGGAACATACTAGACTTAGCTATATCATATTTACAAAAGGATAATATGAAATTTAAATGAAATACTCTAGTACCATATTGACAGAATTGCGAGATTTTGTCATCTCTAGCAGCGGAGTGACAGACATAATTATTGTAATCAAAGTCTAATGAACACAATGCAGTTTTACTATTAGGGAAGGATATTCCACAGCCTGTCCGGCTAGGGTAGAAGTTACCTTAGACTCAGCCAGAGGCCTTGAAATATCCATGAGCATACAGTGTCTGTAAGAATCCACCATGATGTCTAATAAGCAAAAGCTTAAGCAGGCAACATATTCCTATATCTTCATGGAAGTTGATTAATGTACATAGTCCTAATTTTGGATTGACAAAGTTAAATCTGGAATTAGTGCTTAATTGCTAACAAGCCTTGTGGGCAAATTCGGATTCATGCCACCAGAGTAAGTTTCAGTTTATAGTTGCAGCATTAGCATAGAAGGTCACAATTTGATCTAAGCTAGGAAAGAGGCTTCTGATTTTGAATATATTCCTTCTCTACTTTCCCTCACTGCATTTTCTTACAGGATATAAGATTGATTTGCTTATCAAACAATAATATTATATGAGTGGTTTACTTGGTACAGTTTGTTTTGATATTGCATTTACTCCATTACCTTACTCCACTACTTCCGTGTGCCTCATTTTTCAGGTCATTTGGAGTTTTGAAGCACTAGATGACTTGTTGTCTGAGTGGGTAGGCTGCAGTCTTAGGATGTTCTTCGTGACTCGGTTTAATTGCAAGGTAAAATTTGATCAAGTAAATGCAAGGTTGTGTATATTTATTGGACTTTTATTATTTAACAAAAATATATAAAAATAGACATAATTTATCATGCATTGTTACAATGAAATTATCATTCTATCTTTTTACTTTTTACTTTTAAAGCTTTGTTTAAAGATAAAATAATATTTTCACGTGACAAATTAAATAGTTTTTATAAGATTCGTCGGAGATACCTTTATTTGTTACTCTTTTTTTTTTTTTTTGCATTGAATGAACATGGTTTTTTTACTCTAATTTTTTTTTTAACTGTCATGCAGTAGAGCACTGGTTATACAATAAGTTATTATTATAATATAAATTAAAAAGAGATGGTGTCTTTACTGTATACCACTTTACAAAATATTATTCATTTTAATAATATTTTTTTTTAAATTTATATTTTTTTTTCTAATTTCATACTTAAATATTTATTTTATTAAAGATTATATTTTATAATTTATTGTGGTTTGTTTTATATATAGTTAGCTCGGTCTCACAATTTATGTCACAAATTTGGCGAGTTAACTCAAGTTTTTTTTATTTTTTTTAATTTATAACTTTTTTTTTAATTTCATTTTTCAACATTAAATTTATTCTAAATTAGGTTTTATGATTTATTTTGGTTTATTTTTTATGAGATTATCTTCATTTTATAACTCAAGTCATGAGTTTAGCGGCTTAACCCAATTGAGTCGAGTTTTTTTTATCTTCTTTTAATTGATATTTTTTCTATTTTATCTTTCAATATTGAGTTAATTTTATAAATTATACTTTATAATTTATTTTGGTTTGCTTTCTATAAAGTTATCATGTTCTTATGACTTAGGTTACGTGTTTTATGGGTTAATCCGAGTAGACCTGAGTTGTTTTATTATGTTCTATTTTTAGATTCATTTTCAACCTTTAACAATGAGTTTATCGAATATTAGGGTTCATAGTTTTTTTTTATTTGCTTTTTATGGGATTACCACAATCTCATAACCTTGATCGCAAGTTTGGTAAATTAATTCGGATTGACTTAAGTCATTTTTTTTGTTTATTTTCTATGAGATTATCTCAATCTCATTATCTGAGTTATGAATTTGACAAGTTAACTTAGATCAATTTATTTTATTATTTTTTAATTAATTATTTTCAATTCCATTCTTAAACTTTAAGTTGATTGAGAATTGAGCTTCATAATTTGTTTTGATTTGTTTTATATAAGTTTATCATAGTCTCATAATCTTGGTTGCGGATTTAACAGGTTAACTTGAGTTGACCCAAATAAATTCAATTTATTGTTTTTTTAATATTATTTTTTTAAGAAAATATTATCTTGAATTTTTGTTAATCAAATTATATTTTTACTGGTTGTATGGATTGCTTTAAGATTCATTAAGTCAATTAGGTCAACCTTCATATTATTTATTTATTTTTATTAAAAAATTATTAATAATGCCTAAATATTTCTTTTATATATTTAAATTTTTTCTGATTTGAATCATGGCATAGCACAGTTTAATGATTTAGTCGATACTAAAGTGCTTTGTTTTTTTTTTTCTTCCACAAATAGATGTTGGTTCTTTCTATGAAAATTCAAGCTATGGTAAATCTAATTACAAAGAAGATAGGTGGTGAGATTAAGCTTTTGTTTGGTGAGGAAGACCTATGTTCATCATGATTAGTACACAGTTGATTTCTTTTAAACTGTCTTGTGTGATTTATTACCATTTTATTTGTGTTTGTATTTTAAAAATATGGATGGTTTGAAAAAAATATTAAAATTAATAATTTTTTCATATTTTTAATAATTTGATATGCTAATATTAAAAATAAAAAAATATTTATAAATCAAAAATACTTTTAAAAAATACTATATACCACTACCAAACACGTGTTTGAATCATTTCTCTCTTCTTATTAGCCCTTCCTTGTATGTCTACATCATACTTCCGAACGACTTTTCTAATCTTACAGGTTGTTAACAGTCTATTTTGGATGGTCAAGTCCAAATCAACATTAATGGCCATTATTCAATCTAAACCCCACCATTAATAGATTACTTCATACGTTTGGAATAATAATAATAATACACTTTGAGGTCATGGTTCAGATCACTTGTTTTTTACGTGGAAGAACCCTAACTTCACCCATCTTTGTAGTCCACTAAACGTGTTTATGGGTTCCACTTCAATTGGAATTAGCTATGTACGATCTGCTTGGAATTTATTTGACCTACATTGAGAATTAGTTATAGATTTGAGTTCTTCGTTGTGAAAAAGAAGTCAGTTTATGGACATTTCTTTGAATGCAGGTGCTCGAAATTACGCCGAAGTCTTCACTGTTAGTAATTGACTTTCTTTTGAGGCTTTCCATAAATTAACACCCATCACGTCCAGGTTAAGTAATAGTTGCACCCTATCTAGATATCAGCAATGGAGAAGAAACCTAAAGAACCCCAAACGCCATTGACAGGCTTTGCATCAATAAACGAAGACCTTGTTCAAAACATTCTAAAGAGAACACCAGCTACATCCTTCGCATCAGCAGCTTGTGTTAGCAAATCATGGAACCACAATTGCAATCAAATCCTCTCCGAACCAAAGCTTGCTTCTGCCTTTTCTCTCAATCCAGACCCAAAGGTTTGTTGGGCCTTCAAAAAAAAAAAAACACCGCACAAATTTCATGGTAAAGTCTCTAACGTGAAATGTGCTTTTGTATGCTTTGATGGTGATCAAACAGGTTGCATTACAAGAAGGCCAATAAGCTTAAGGAATGGTGGTAGTAGAAGACTCTAAGAAAACATAGAGATCATCATTGCTCAGACTAGAAAGAAATATTGCTTAAGTGGTGAGATCTTTTACATGGAGACCATCATTGCTTAGACCAGAAAGGAGCATTACAAAGGCATGAAATTTAAAATAAATATTATTATCACGATAAAATTTCTAAACAGATAGCAATGGTTTGGTAATGTGAGGAACATGGAAAACATTAGATAATGTAAAGGTGCATTTAGGGGAATGTAAGATGGCATGGCCAATATGGGATATAGAGAGACCCTTACCGTCACCAACATGTAAATGATCATTATCAAGATAGGGTGCAAAATTAGTCAGAGTCGCAAGATCGGGACTAACATGCTGGTTTGCACCAGTATCTGGGAACCAAGTAGAGGCAGAAACCAGACCAACAGCAAGGTGGGTAGAGGGCTGATGACCACTACTACGAAACTGAGCACATTGCAAGGCTGTGTGGCTGAAGAAAAAGCGTAATTAACATTTGACATGCTACTCATAAGATCGATAAGAAGGCCACTATCTACTAGTAGTAGGTCGTCTGCTCTGCTACCAATGATTTTGCTTCTAGTTCGTGGCAGCAAAGGAAAAAGGGTCATGAAAATCAAACCTGACATGGCTATTATACCTGTTGTTGTTAGAGCGCCAGCTGCCACCGGAATGACCTCTGTTACGGCTAAAATAGGAGTTGGTCTGCTACTGTACAAGATGAGTAAAGGGTAACAAAGAATGTTGTACAAGATAAGCAGATGGTAGTAGAGATGGTGTAGGCAGCAGAGGTGGAGTTGGAGTTGCACCCAAGGATGGAAAAGAAGACTTATGTAAGTAAAAACGTGGTTGTGAAGGTCCACGTATGATAGCGGTTCTGCCTTGGTCACAAGATTAGTTACTAAGTTTTTAAACTCACCACGAAGGCCACGAAATATATAGAGGTTGAAGTCTTCAAGAGAGAGGGGTTGGCCAGTAGCAACAAATTCATTAAATAAGGATTTGGCGTGCTGCATATATGTAGTAACTGAAGCATCTCCTTGCCAAAGATCTTGAAAAGACCCACAGAGTTGTATAATACGAGAATTTGATAGAGAAGTGAGCGCTTTTTCAAGAGTGCGCCAAACATAAGAAGAAGTCTAACAATCAACCACAAGATGTAGGACGTCCATGGAGAGGGAGGAGAGTAGTGCGTTTAAAATAAGCTGATCTTGTTGCTTCCAACAGAGAAAAGAAGGGCTAAGTGCTGAAGAAGAACCATAAGAACCGTCAAAACATGAGAGGAAGGACATGGCACTGAGCCATTAACAAAGTGGAAAACACCTTGACCAAGAACATACCGCTTCATCTGCATTTGCCAATAGAGATAATTGGTAGTTGTAAGTTTCAATAAGACCACTTGATGAGTGTTAGACAATACAACAATAAAAGGAGTCGTTGTCTCCATAATGTGCAAGGGAACATCAGAAACATGAGAGGAAGAGCCAAGGTTCGGCTTTGCAGGTTGGGGCTGTTGTTGGTGGGAGAAAGAACCAACGACAGCAACTTCAAAGTGGCTAGCTAGTGGGGCTGCACCAATGTTTTGGTAGGGGAGTAAGTAGCAGAGTCCATTTAAGGGAGGAAGAAAGGATGTCGGCTACAAAAAGAAAACGAAGAAGAAGAGTCCTGATAGCAAAAAGCTTTGATATCAAGTTGAAAATAATTGGAAGGCTTAACCTAATTGTTAGCCAACCCTTTTTATATATATGTGGAGGGCAATATATAATAGCAATAATGAAAATTATCACACAAGAGTATGTTTATAATATTTTCTATATAGTATATTTTTTATATAGTATATTAATAATTACTGTAATATACCAATAAAAAAAATCTATCAATTTTGTAATGATATCGATTAGAGAGAACCATAAATATAATGAAAAGTCAACTTCAAAGTTGTGATAGAATACCAGCAAGTATGCGTGCCACTATTTTTATACTGCACATGTGACTTATTACTCTCTTCAAAGTTGACTTTTCATAATATTTATGAATTCATCTTGTCAATATATTTTTTCTGTACTTGGAGATTCATTAACGAAACTCTAAAGTATCTTTGATGCTTTTTTTGGCCTTGTCATTTTTTCTTTCTAGCCATTAAATTATGTTGATTTATTTCATGTCATTGGATCTTTATAATAAAGCATGTTGACTCTTGCATAAGTTAAGTATTTGAGAGAGCAAAAACTTGAAATGAAATTTATTAGTTGAAAATTGTGGCAGTTGAAAAATATTTTTTTAGTTGTGATAGTTTAGAAAATAATTTTTACTACCGTGTTAGTTTATGAAAAAATTCCGCGTAGAACTTTTTGGATTTGTGGACAATAAATTAACTGATCTTGAGTATATATTTTCGCTGACATGGTGACCTCAGGCCGGTCCAGTGGCAATGATTGATAACTTTGTGATGGATATCAAGAATTATTCAGCTTCTGTTTCTGGTTCCACATCACCAGCTCTGATCATAATGTTTGGAGTAAGCTAATATGCATGCTTACATGCTTCATTCTTGTATGAGTTTCTTGCTAAGATGTGACTTCTGTAATGCTACAGGGTGAAGAGGTTAACCTCACACCTGTCATGGAAAAGTTGGGTGAGTTTTTTAACAAGGGATGTTCCAGTCTTCTTGCGTTTGATTTTAATTTTATTCGTAGGAAAATGTAAAATAAGGGCAAGAATCTAAACAATTTAGTCCAATCTCTTTAAAATCTTCAGCTTGTTTCTTATAAATAAAATATGTTTACTCCATTTTTCAGCTTCGAAAAGCTATTTTCTTCAAACCCTTTTCATTTTCTCTCCATAATGATATTTATTTGACATATTCAAGCATCAATCTCTGCTATTCTAAAGCAAAAACTTCTTTCTAATCCATCACTGGATGACCAGAATATTTGAGTCTTTTTTCTGGATGATCAGAATATTGAAAGAATATAAAGATCGGTGGATATGTCATTATGAAGTGGATTAACCTCAAAAGTCTCATGACATATCAACGAGGTTGATAATTTAAGAAGACAGTTAATTCTTGAAGTCAAATTTCAAAAATGTGTTATCAGACTTGATAAATTGCATAGTAGAAATCTGCTGTATTTGTTCTTGAATTTGCATAGTAGAAATCTGCTGTATTTGTTCTTGAATTTGAAAATGTATATTGTATGTTGCAGATCATGCCATGTCAAGGGAAACTTTCATTGCCGGCAATATGAGATCCCAATTCCTGTACAGAAGGGGCATAGAGTCAAGAAATATATATGGGAGTAGTACAAAATATTTGACTGATGCAGTTGCTCTTGTATTTGCAAGGGATGAAGACAAACCTTCTGGTATCTCCTTGCTCGTCTGTGTTCTTGCAATTTCATTCACCTCGAAAACTGAAATCTAATGACAAATGTTCTTTCGGAGACTTCCGATAAAATTGGAAAGATTATAAGAAATTAGCATGACAATGTACAGATCAAGAAATGTTTCAAATATCTTTCATTCGTAGATAAAAGAAAATAACGGGAAGATCACAATGCACTTGCCTTTTTCTTTTTACTAAAATTATGACATCTTATCTCATATCTCTGCTGCTTCATTTGGCTTAATGTGCAGGTGAAGGGAAAATCCAATTCGATTCTGCAATATCAGATGGTGTTTCTGCAATAGGTCCAAGGTATAAGGCAGTTTCCGTCAAAGAAACTCAATCTGAGACAGGTCTTGCTACATTGCTTACTGCTAGAAGAGAAGGAGAGCAAGAGATTCTTGGTGGTCAAAGGATTATAGATAGCATCGACAGTGAGGTATGCTAGTTTTTGGAAAACCATTCTTTTACCTTATCATGGTTTCCTTGATTTAGCTAGTTGCTTCTCGTACTTGCTTCAGCTTTGCTACTAACCGAAAGCCTTAAGACAATTTGTATAGATTTATTTAGTTATATCAAAAAATTATCCTAATCCAAAATGCTAAACTATGGAAAAGGTTATCATTAATGTTTTTATATTAGTCTCTCTAACAATATCATTTTTTTGCCATGAATGAAGTTTTCTCTGTTGATTTTTTCCAATATATGACAGTTGGTGAACAAAACTAAACTGTTCATTGGGGTTTCAAAACAAAGACAATGCGTTATTGGGTCAGAGAATCCAAAACTGTGGAGATCCCTGGCTTTCCATGGAGTTAAGGGGTGAGATGTTGAACTTTCACCAGTATTTTTATATGTTGGCATTGTATTTTTTATAGAAAGTTTGCCAAACACCTGAGATTTTTTTGAACTTTCACCGGTATTTTTATATGCTGGCATTGCATTTTTTATAGAAAGCTTGCCAAAAACTTGAGATTTTTTTCCTAGCTTGGTTTTAAGTATATTCTCAAAGATTATCTTCTTATTGAGACATGGATTGCTTGTCAACAGAGGAGATGGAGAGCACCTTTTTGTTAGTGGAGATGGCATCAGTTCTGGAGACTATTTTCATTTCTACCATTCAGATCCAAAGGCCGCATTATCTTCAACTAGTAATGTCTCCAAGAATTTCAGAAACTTGAAACTGGATTGGAGAAGCTGCCAGCTTCATGCAGGTGGTGTTGGTAGTAAGGAAGTTGTTGGAGGTTTGGTTTTC